GTGGAATTTTGGACATAAGTCAGACGCGTGCATCTGTTTGTCGTATTAAATTTTGGTGGGGGTGGTTCGGTGGTTGCACGTGGCGGTCGCATCTTTGCGGGATTTTGGGCCGCGGCCGGCGCCGAGCAGTGAGCACGTGCCCTAGGCTCAGATTCTTCGCTGCGAAAATGATATTTCTTCCCGTCATGAAATAAGATGCCTTTAAGAAACAGGTAGATCGGATCTTTGAGATAAGCCCACTTTACAGATCTGACGCGCATGTGACATTTCTCAACACTCACATGACTATTCTGATGAATTTTGTGTTTTGCAATGTTTTCACCCAACCAAAATAAAAAGTTCAAAGTGTATTTTGAGTGGCAACGCAAGCAGTATTTGGGTAATTTCACAATAAAATATCAATAAACTGTCCTAATCAAGTCACGTGATGCTACCAGATTCTGTGCTCAGACCATATCGTGTCTGTTGGGGGTCGGAATTAGAAAAAAGCTCTTGATTGTCTTGGTAGCGCGGCAAATATGAATGTAAACAACGATGGCGTATTTTAGTCTATAGATTAGACCAGGATATTTATCCAAAGAGTAATAAGTGTTTTGTTTTCAAGTGTTGTAAGTAGTTCGTTTTTGTTGCATATTCCGTAAATGTACCCGATTACGTGATTGTCATGCGTCGGGCGGTGTCCGCTAACGCAGCGGCCCAGCGCCGTCGTCGGGCCCGTATGGCCGAGGCGGAGCGACAAGCTGAGGCCGAACGGAACGCGGCCCAGCAGCGAGCGCGCCGGCAGAGGGAGGCGGTGAGGGAGGCCGAGGCCGCTCGCCAGCGGGAGCGCGCGGACGACGACCGGGTGCGACAGCTCAACGCCGAGAGGCAGCGCGCGTTCCGAGCCGCACAGGAGGAGGGAGCTAGGCGGGCGGAGTTGGAGGCCAACGCTGAGCGCCTCCGCCAGCAGCGAGCGGCGCAAGATGAAGAGGCCAGGCGGGCGGAGTTGGAGGCCAACGCTGAGCGCCTCCGCCTGCAGCGAGCGGCGCAAGATGAAGAGGCCAGGCGGGAGGAGTTGGAGGCCAACGCTGAGCGCCTCCGCCAGCAGCGAGCGGCGCAAGATGAAGAGGCCAGGCGGGCGGAGTTGGAGGCCAACGCTGAGCGCCTCCGCCTGCAGCGAGCGGCGCAAGATGAAGAGGCCAGGCGGGCGGAGTTGGAGGCCAACGCTGAGCGCCTCCGCCTGCAGCGAGCGGCGCAAGATGAAGAGGCCAGGCGGGCGGAGTTGGAGGCCAACGCTGAGCGCCTCCGCCTGCAGCGAGCGGCGCAAGATGAAGAGGCCAGGCGGGCGGAGTTGGAGGCCAACGCTGAGCGCCTCCGCCTGCAGCGCGAGGCGCATGAGGAGGAAGCGACGCAGGCCGAGCGTGAGGCCACCGCGGCGCGCGTCCGTCAACATCGCGAGGAACAGGACGAGGACGCCAGGCACGCTCAGCGTGCTGAAGACGCCCGGCGCCATCAGCAGCAGCGCGCTGCCGCCCGTGCGAGGCCAGCCTCGCTTGCGGCCCGCCGACCGGCGGACGTTTTGTCCGGCGAGCAGGTGGTGGAGGCCGATGATGTCGGTGCGATGGTGAAAGTGTGTGCGTCGTGCGGAGCCCTGCGGTGGGGGGTGAGCGCGCCACGTTCTGCTGTGCAGGCGGCAAGGTCCGCCTTGACCCGCTCCCGGCCCCGCCGCCAGTCTTACGCCGCCTTTGGACTGATGACACCTTAGAGGCGCGCACCTTCCGGCAGTACGTCCGGCACCTCAACTCAGCGCTGGCCCTATCGTCTTTGTCCGTGCGTGAGGTGCCGCCGCCTGCAGGCACCGGCGGGTACGCACCGTGTGTGGTGGTGCAGGGGCGGCTGTACCACCGACTTGGGCCGCTGGAAGTCCCTGAAGACCGGCCACCCTCCTTCGCCCAGATATACATCAGTGACCCGCTGGCCGAAGATCCGGAGGCTGAAGCGGCCATTCGACTCGGTCATGTGCGCCTGCCGGCAGCGACCTCTGCCGCCGTGCAGCACCGGCTGCTGGACCTGCTGGGACAGCTTCAGGCCATGCTGCGCCAAGTCAACCCCTGGGTGCACGATTTCATCATGGCTGCCGAGGTCCTGGCACGGGAGGTGGAACACCGGCAGCTGATCATCAGCGTTGCAGCCCGACCCGCCGGCGAGCACGCGCGCCGCTACAACGCCGCCGAGGGACTGCGCGAGGTGGCGGTCCTCATGGGAGAGGAGCCCGGACAGCACGACCTGGTACTGCGCCGCCGAGCTGATGGCGGGACCGGCGTGCTGCAGACCATCGATGAGAGCCACCGAGCGTGTGACCCACTCCATTTCGTCCTCCTGTTTCCACTGGGGACTACAGGGTGGCACCCGGCGATTGCTCAGGCGCCGCAGCCCGGCAGGGAGCGGCAGCGAATGGTGACAACGCTCCAGTTTTACGCGTACCGGCTCCAGATCAGGCCCCACCAGGACGACAGCCTCCACCGCGCCGGTCGCCTGTTTCAAGAGTTTGTCTGTATGGCCTACGCCAAGGTCGAGGCCATCCGGCTGAAGTACATCTCCACTCACCAGCGCGAGATCCGGGCGGACCTCTACCAGAGCGTCCGTGACGCCGTGGCGGCTGACGCGGAGCTCGGCCAGCAGGAGCAGCCCGAGGAGGGACGTGAGCAGGCTGGTGTACCGGTCGTCGGAGACGAGTCGTTCTGCCGGCTACTTTCATCGGTGGACCCCGCCATATGAGGCAACGGTGAGCTACGCAAACAAACACCAATCTTAAATTACTAACCACTATTTTGTATTCGCTGAAGTCTTATTTGCACTATTACCACTCATATTAAATTTGCTTGAATGCATCATAATGCACTCAAATCAGCATAGCAACGTTAAAAAAAAACGAACAAACACCTGTGCTCACATTTAACGAATAAGTTAGTATTCGCCAATTCATTTTTGTTTGGACTATAATCTGCCTACAGGTGCCAGGTGGTCATATTTTTGGTTCTACGACAAATGTCACTTTCAAACAACCGTCAACAGCTTTGTGTTTGGACTATTTTCTGCCCATAGTCATGCTTTTGGTTCTACGGTAAATTTTACCTTCAAACAACCATCTAATATTATCTACATTTTTCCTCAACTTTGCAGTTACATGGACGCCATGGCCATCGTGAGGGCCAAGGGGAAGCCGACCCTCTTCATTACCATCACGTGTAATCCGAAGTGGCCGGAGATCGCAAACGCCCTGTTGCCCGGACAGAAGCCCGAGGATCGACCCGACTTGGTGGCTCGAGTGTTCCACCTCAAGCTCCGCCGCATCATCGGGGACCTGACCAAGCAGGCCGTCTTCGGCAAGCCGAGCGCCTTCATGTGGGTCATCGAGTTTCAGAAGCGCGGTAAGTCACAACATGGCTTTGACAGAAATCCCTGTACAGACATGAGCTCAGTCGCGGGGGGACGTGACACGCACCCAAGCAATATGCACATTTATTCCGATTTAAAGCTCACGCCTTAACGGCCAAATAAATATGATCGAAGAAGTCAACGTGAAAAAGATTTCGTCGTGTAAAGTTCATAGTGCTTCGCGTTGTTTTACCTTTTGACGGCGAATATAAATTCACTTATTGTTAGACTATCCCGCAATACACGGCTGCATGGCGGGTTGCCTAGCTTCTGTCGTATTAACGCAAATCATCTGCGACAATCGGTTGAGCTATACCAGTCAGAAATGTTTTGCGTCGCTTTAGCTTCTGAGGGCGAATATAAATTCACTTATTGTTAGACTATCCCGCAATACACGGCTGCATGGCGGGTTGCCTAGCTTCTGTCGTATTAACGCAAATCATCTGCGACAACCAGTCGAGCTATTCCGGCCAGTACAGGCGCTGGCGTTTCCATATAATTCACTTATTGTTAGACTGTCCCGCAAGACACGGCTGCATGGCGGGTTGCCTATAGCTTCTGTCGTATTAACGCAAATCATCTGCGACAATCGGTTGAGCTATACCAGTCTGAAATGCTTCGCGTTGCTTTAGCTTCTGAGGGCGAATATAAATTTACTTATTGTTAGACTATCCAGCAATATACGGCTGCATGGCGGGTTGCCTAGCTTCTGTGTATTAACGCAAATCATCTGCGACAACCAGTCGCATTCCGGCCAGTATAGGCGCTGGCGTTGCCATATAATTCACTTAAAAGTTGAATCTGAGGGCACCCATTTTGTAACATAAAGTCCGTGGCAGTGTATTAAAAATGACAAAATACCGCTGCGTGTCAGTTTGCTTACCCTCTACCATACTAACGTACCGAAGCTACGCATCTTTAAATATCAGTCAAGCGATTCCAGGTCACACTAGAACGCATCAAAATCGTGAGTCTGACATTTTCTTTTTGTTTGCAGGCCTGCCTCACTGTCATCTCCTGCTCATCCTGCAGCCGGAGGACCGGCCTCGGACCGGCGCCGATGCGGACACGATCGTCTCGGCGGAGCTGCCGGACCCCACCGAATCGCCGCAGTCGGCCCGTCTGCAGCAGATTGTCCTCACCAGCATGGTTCACAACGAGTGCGGCGCTGCTCGGCCGACCGCCACCTGCATGAAAGACGGTCAGTGCTCCAAACGGTTCCCGAAACCGCTCTCCCACGAGACCATCTGGCAGGAGGACCGCACGTACCCCCAGTACCGGAGGCGCGGACCCGAGGACGGCGGCCAGCAGGCGGAGCACAATGGGAGGATGGTGACGAACCAGTGGGTCGTGCCCTACAATCCGCTCCTCAGCCTTCGCTACGAGTGTCACATCAACGTGGAGGTGTGCTCCTCTGTGGACGGAGTTAAGTACATTTTTATGTACATTTACAAGGGCTCCGACCGGCAGATGGTCCGCGCAGATCAGCTGATCGAGGCCGGTCAGGACGAGGTGGCAGCCTTCCGAGACCTCCGCTCCATTGGTGCGAGCGAAGCATGCTGGCGGCTGTTCAGCTTCGAGATGAGCGACCGGTCACCAGCGGTGCTGGCGCTACAGGTTCATCTCGAAGACCAGCAGCTGATCTTCTTCCAGCCTGGGGAGGAGCGGCAGGCAGTGGCTGGGGAGCCGCGCCACACGCAGCTGACTGCCTGGATGACCTACAACCGGGCGTCGGCCGGCGAGGACCCCGAGTGCCTCCGGGTGCTCTACCCGGACTTCCCCCAGAAGTACCGCTGGGACGCCGGCCAGAAGCGGTGGCACCGGCGCCGCAACATGCAGGCGGCGCCCACCATCGGCCGGGTGGTGAGTCTCACACCCAGGCACGGGGATGTATTCTACCTCCGGGTATTGCTGCATCACGTCCCCGGCGCCACGACATTCGCCGATCTGCGCACGGTGGACGGCCAGGTGTGCGACACACACCAAGAGGCGTGTCGGCGGCGTGGCCTGCTCCAGGACGACCAGGAGTGGGCGGAGACGCTGGCTGAGGCCGTCCGCACCCAGCGCCCCGGCCAGCTCAGGCAGCTGTTTGTGGTACTGCTTCTATTTTGCGCGCCGGCCGATCCCGCAACCCTCCTCCACCGGTTCCAGGCAGCAATGGGAGAAGACTTCGCCCACCGCCACCCAGAGCTGCCGCCGGAGACGGTGACGGGACTGGTGCTACTGCGCATCAGCGACTCCCTCCAGCGGGCCGGCAAGACGCTGGAGGACTTCGGCCTGCCGCCCGTGCCAGCTGAACACCAAGCAGCGGCCGCCGCCTTGGAGGGGGCCGAGGAGCTGCGGCGCCTGCCTCCCATTATACGGGAGGAGGTCGACTTCGACCGTGCCGACCTTCAGCACACCGTCGACCAGCGGCTGCCAGGCCTACTGCCGGATCAGCGCCAGGCGGTGGACACGGTGCTGGCCGCGGTCGACGGCCAGGAGCCGCTCGCCCTATTCTTGGACGCGCCAGGTGGCACTGGCAAGACATTTACTTTTAATTCTCATCTCTGCGGTGCGAGCCAAGGGCCTGGTGGCACTTGCCGTGGCGTTCAGCGGTATCGCCGCTACACTGCTGGACAGCGGGAGGACTTTTCACAGCCGTTTTAAAGCTCCTCTGCGACCGGACGACACCGTCATTTTCAACATCTCCGCCCAGAGCGAGCTCGCCCAGCTGATCCGGTTAGCGCGCCTCATCGTGATGGATGAGGCTCCGATGGCGCACCGGCACCACATCGAGGGCCTCGACCGGACGCTGCGCGACCTGACGGGGTCCGATCAGCTGTTCGGCGGCAAGGTGGTGGTGCTGGGCGGCGACTTCCGGCAGGTTCTGCCTGTCGTCCGGCACGCCAACCAGGCAGGCATCGTGGACGCCAGTCTCCGCCGCTCGCCGCTGTGGCGCCACTTCAGAGTGCACCGACTGCGGGAAAACATGCGCGCCAGGCTGGCGCAGGAGGAGAACCAACAGGCCGAGCTGGAGGAGTTCTCCACCTGGCTGCTGCAGCTCGGCAACGGCGAGCTGCCCACGACGCCGATGGACGGGTCACCCTGCCGCCGGCGCTGGTGCTGGAAGCCGAGTTGCCGGCCGTCATCGACTGGACCTTCGGCAACCTGACCGACGCCGACAGCATGGCGTCCCGCGCCGTGCTGGCGCCCACTAACAGCACCGTCGACTCGGTGAACAGTTATGTCACCGACATCTTCCCGGGCCAGGCCGTGGAGTGCCTCAGCGCAGACGCCACCGTCGGGGAGGAGCAGGAGCCGGTACCCCAGGAGTACCTCAACGGGCTGTGTGTGCCGGGCCTCCCGCCTCATCACCTGCTTTTGAAGCCCGGCATGCCGGTCATCCTGCTCCGAAACATCGACCCGGCCAGGGGACTGTGTAACGGCACCCGGCTCCTGGTGGTGGCCGTCCACGGCGGCCGGCTCCTGGAGGCGACCGTGGCCTGCGGCAGCGCGGCCGGCCGCCGGGTTCTCATCCCCCGCCTGACGCTGCAGCCGCCGGACGACGCCTTCCCGTTCGAGTGGCGGCGGCGCCAGTTCCCGGTGCGGCCCGCCTTTGCGCTCACAATCAACAAAGCGCAAGGTCAGACGCTCCGGCGGGTGGCCGTCCTTCTGCGAGAGCCCGTGTTCGGCCACGGACAGCTCTATGTTGCCGCGTCCAGGGTCGGCCGCTGGCGGGACCTGCGCTTCGTCCTGCCGCCGGGCAGCGGTGGACGGACCGCCAACGTCGTCTACCGGGACGTGCTGTGAGCCGGCAGGACACCGCCCAGTTTCTCTACCCGCAGGCATCGGTTACGCTTTGAACCACCTGCGGGGTCTCTTTTCTGTTAAAAAGAGATCCATCTGCAATTCATTGTGGCCGCCTCCTCGTGGCGATTGTGGGTAACGCTAAGAGCCACACAAAGCACAGGTGAGAATTGATTTACGAAATGTTATAAGTCACTACTTAATTTCCACTATTGTGCCTAATTACTTCAGTCCAGCTGGATTTGCTAATTGCGATTCACTCACGGCTTAGTATGTACCTGTGCCTGAAACGTGACTATGTCTGAAACGTTATTATAAACATAACCTATATGTAGTAAATTATTTGAACTACACATCCAAGTAGCTTATCAGTCTGAATTGGTTAGGTCAATGACCTATTTATTTGAATTGTATCCATTTGGACCGCACCATTCACCTTTTCGCGTACATCAAGGCTTCTAGAAGTCACTATTACACAAAACCATTACTACTCGAACTGGCCAATTATGGGCAAGCCATATCCTCGCGACGCGAAGCAAGCGGCTTGCCGCTTGTTCACATATATAAAAATCAAAATGTCCGTATGTATGTATGTAACGCGTCAGTCACGCTTTAAGGGCTATTGCTGTGGAACGGTGCGGGCTACGGGGGTGAAATTTTCGACGCAAGTCGGACGCGTGCATCTGTTTGTCGTATTAAATTTGGTGGGGGGGGTTCGGTGGTTTGCACGTGGCGGGCGCATCTTTGCGGGATTTTGGGCCGCGGACGGCGCCGAGCAGAGAGCACGCGCCTTAGGCTCAGTTCTTCGCTGCAAAACTGAGGGAAATCAGAGCCGGCAGGTCACTGACCTTTGGCAATGAATACCGGAACAGAGCACCACCGGCCAGGAGGAGACGCCAAATTTATTCTGGCCATAACTCGGCCGCTACTGGGCCGATTCTGATGAAAATTGATTTATTACGCTGCGCGTAATGCTGTCCCTCTTTACGCTGCGCGTAATGCTGTCCCTCTTTACGCTGCGCGTAATGCTGTCCCTCTAGTCACATATATAAAAATCAAAACGTCTGTACGTATGTATGTATGTATGTATGTATGTATGTAACGCGTCAGTCACGCTTGGCGGGCTATTGCTCCGGAACGGTGCGGGCTACGGGGGTGGAATTTTGGGCGCAAGTCGGACGCGTGCATCTGTTTGTCGTATCAACTTTTCGAGGGGGTGCGTGCAGCGGTGTGCACGTGGCGGGCGCATCTTTGCGGGATTTTGGGCCGCGGCCGGCGCCGAGCAGACGGCACGCGCCCTAGGCTCAGATTGTTCGCTGCGAAAATGAGGGAAAACAGAGTCGGAGGTCGTTGACCTTTGGCAATGAATACCGGAACAGAGCACCGCCGGCCAGGAGGAGACGCCAAATTTATTCTGGCCATAACTCGTTACATATATAAAAATCAAAACGTCTGTAGTATGTATGTATGTATGTATGTAACGCGTCAGTCACGCTTGGCGGGCTATTACTGTGGAACGGTGCGGGCTACGGGGGTGAAATTTTGGACCGAAGTCGGACGCGTGCATCTGTTTGTCGTATTAAATTTTGGTGGGGGGGGTTCGGTGGTTTGCACGTGGCGGGCGCATCTTTGCGGGATTTTGGGCCGCGGCCGGCGCCGATCAGAGAGCACGCGCATTAGCCTCAGTTTCTTCGCTTGCCAAACTGAGCGAAATCAGAGCCGGAAGGTCACTGACCTTTGGCAATGAATACCGGAACAGAGCACCGCCGGCCAGGAGGAGACGCCAAATTTATTCTGGTAATAACTCGGCCGCTACTGGGCCGATTTTAATGAAAATTGATTTATTACGCTGCGCGTAATGCTGTCCCTCTAGTACATTTGAAATTCCTTTCTGAAGAGTTCAGTAAAATCTTTCTCTCACCTTACCCTTCAGCATTGGCTGAGGATCAAAATTTCACTCTGGCTCCCTCTCAATATTAGGCCTCTGGAATGATATTGTTATCAAAATGAATGTTGATATAAAAAGATATGCGATTTCCAGTTAAAAATAAATAGTGACACAGTGAATAATGAGTATCCAGTCGATCTACACATAAAACAAATCATGCAAAATCCCAGCAAAAACCAACTATAATAACATATATGGCCTTGCAACTAACCACCAATGAACCACGCATTTCTGGAAACATGCGTCAGAAGCGTCACCAACAGCTGATTGCAAAGAATGTTACAGCGACTAAATTATTGCGGCCGTAGTTAGTCGAACTTGTTGCGAAAACACTGTTGTATAATGCATATTCATGTGCCATTCTGATTAAATTATTTTACACAACAGCTAAAGTTTTACAATTCAGAGGTTAATCACCGGTTTAGAAATAAAGAGACAGTAAATGCTAAATTAAATGTAATGATTTTATAGATGGTCTTGGTAATGCTCTCCGGCTGGTCATCTGTCGGCATACAAATGATAAGGACGTAAAAAGACAAAAGAAATAAATGCGACCAGCTACGTGGTTTTGTAACATGTATAACTGCTGTTTTGAGGCATTCAAAAACCAAGACAGAAAAACTGATTGAAAATTATTGCGTCATCAATGACAGCTTTCCTTCGCCTCAGAGACCAAAATTGACGCAGTCAAATGCCAATCCTTGTCAGAATGTCGGAAGTGCGCCAGTATTATATTATTGCGTTATGTTTGGGCCGGCCAGTCTATATTTTGATTTTTTGTAAGGGTAATTGGTGTGTTATTTTCGTAATATAGGGTGGAACAGAACATAGAGTAGGATAGGTAATCAATGAATTTGCATCAAATTTTGTTTAGCTGATAGCTCTTTTTATGCCGACCAGACGCAAATAAAGTAACATGTGGCATTTGCTCTGATTTTCAACATCTCATTTAAAGGGGGTGCCACCTTTTGGACACAACGCAGTTTTTACAAGATTAGCCTCACATGAACCTAAAAACCGGCTTCACTTACCTATGCTCGAGACGGTCAGCATTGAATCCGCACGTGAAGTTATCATTTGCGAGTTTTGCTGCCAGCATTCGGGCAGGCAAAAATCTTCAGCACTATTTCCTCGTCGTGTTAAGGGTATTTTATAAAACATGAAATCAGCAAAGGTATGTATAAAAGTTATACTTTTGAAGCATGTTTTATCATTTTGAAAGGGTGTATTTTTTCTTTATGGTATACACTTAAGTTTTAAAATTTTAATTGGGAAGTTTTTCTAGTAAGTTGCATGAAGGGTGAAGGGTTCCATAGATCTCTTAAGCATTGTAAAGGAAAAACCTTTACTCGACTTATTTGATGTTCTTATTTGATGATGAAATATGGCCAACAGTTACCTACTTGGTTACCTACAACTTAGTTCAAATCATGTTATCTTCTTCCTTTTTATGTTTCATCTTTTTGTCTCAGTTGCGCCATCAATGCAAATGGCAGAATGATATGTTGCCATGACAACAGGATATGCCAGCCGTCCTAGCTGCCACATCAAACGACCTTGAGTTGTAGTGGTGATATAAACAACGATCTTTTTTTTTGGCCAATGTATTAAATGCAATGTTTCGGTTTTTTGTATATTGTGGACGCGCTAACCACGTCTAAAAATTCAAATAAGTAAAATAGATTCATAGAACAAAAATTTCGGAAGGTGGCACCCTTCCTTTAAGTCTGGGTTCTTCCATAATGTATATCTAGTGCACACTGCACAGTGCACATACATAGACTTCAGTTCAGCTTCCTATAAGTTTGCTTTCAGGGTCTTTTATGTTTTATGGAATGCTTTCATCAGCATTTATTTATGCTTAGTAGTTTATTGCTTGTACCCTGGTTTGGTCATTGCCAGACTGTGGATGCTATTGCTGGTTGTTTTCAGTTTTGCATTTGAAATGTGCTTCCTTGATATATTTTTATATTTGGTTCTGTTTTAAAAGTTGTTTTGATGAATATTGTATTGTTAACCTGAGCAAATGCACTTGGCATTGTGTTTTGCATCTAAAAAAAAAAAATAGGTTCTTAAGTCTGACCGCCAAATACCCACCACACGACAAGTTTTGCTTCTCGAACCCGCCAAAAACCCTGCGGGTTTTGAAAACCCGCAGAAAGCGGGTTCGCGGGTTCAAAAAGGGCATCTCTAGTTATAGTTGGTTTTTGCTGGGATTTTGCATGATTTGTTTTATGTGTAGATCGACTGGATACTCATTATTCACTGTGTCACTATTTATTTTTAACTGGAAATCGCATATCTTTTTATATCAACATTCATTTTGATAACAATATCATTCCAGAGGCCTAATATTGAGAGGGAGCCAGAGTGAAATTTTGATCCTCAGCCAATGCTGAAGGGTAAGGTGAGAGAAAGATTTTACTGAACTCTTCAGAAAGGAATTTCAAATGTACTAGAGGGACAGCATTACGCGCAGCGTAATAAATCAATTTTCATTAAAATCGGCCCAGTAGCGGCCGAGTTATTACCAGAATAAATTTGGCGTCTCCTCCTGGCCGGCGGTGCTCTGTTCCGGTATTCATTGCCAAAGGTCAGTGACCTTCCGGCTCTGATTTCGCTCAGTTTGGCAAGCGAAGAAACTGAGGCTAATGCGCGTGCTCTCTGATCGGCGCCGGCCGCGGCCCAAAATCCCGCAAAGATGCGCCCGCCACGTGCAAACCACCGAACCCACCCCCACCAAAATTTAATACGACAAACAGATGCACGCGTCCGACTTCGGTCCAAAATTTCACCCCCGTAGCCCGCACCGTTCCACAGTAATAGCCCGCCAAGCGTGACTGACGCGTTACATACATACATACATACATACGTACAGACGTTTTGATTTTTATATATGTAACTAGGTGTCCAGCATTACGCGCAGCGTAATAAATCAAGTTTCAATAAAATCGGCCCAGTAGCGGCCGAGTAATGGCCAGAATAAAGTTGGCGTCTCCTCCTGGCCGGCGGTGCTCTGTTCCGGTATTCATTGCCAAAGGTCAGTGACCTTCCG